CTATGAGCCCCACAACCCCCACAACCAACCCCCCAAAAATGCCTAGCATAGATAATGCAGTAGACTTGGTTGCGATTATCTTCTCTGTGGATGAGGGCTCTGTAGATGAACACCCATGTTCATTACAATCAACCTTGAGGATAATTTATATAATTCGCATAGCCCTCTGCTCTCCACCCCAGCCCAATCTGAGTCCCCTCTGCCTGGCATTGAACTTCCCTCCCTCCCTCCACTCCCACCTCCGGCACACACCTCCTGCATGCGGATGAGAAAGGAGTCAATGAAGTCTCGTGGGGAGTTGGGGTCCAGGGTGCGCTGGTTCTGTTCCACCTTCTTGGTTATGAAGTCCTCCAGCCCCTTCAGCTCCTTACGAGCCTGTTGCTGTGGTCCCGGCAGATGCTTCATGATGGAGGAAAACATCTCAAAGAGCTGGGGTGGGGGAGAGGGGTGGAGAGAGAGAAAGCAGAGAAAAGACAGACATTCACCAGGTGGTGTAGCGCATACTGGGAATCCCAGCCTCTCTGGAAATAGAGTCCAGAAAGGTCTCATTTGAGGCAACTCTGCCTCACAAAGATGAGTGAATAAATAAAATAAGGACTAGGGGACATAGTTCAAATTATAGAATACTTGCTTAATATGCACAAGGCCTGGGTTCAATCTCCAGTGGAACCAAAGCAAAATCACACCCCTACCCCAAGAGTCACTGCCTTCCCCCAGGCCATGGGGTCCCCATCTGCCATCCTCTTGCCTCCAAGGCCTCCTCAAAACCAGCCCCCACCTTTTGTACATCTGAACAGTTATGTCAGGACCTAGAGCAAGTGTCTAATATGCAGGTCTCTGAGGACACCTGGACATTTCCACCATGGCCTGAAAACAGAGCCTGCTGGTAAAAGCGTGGGCACCACTACCCACTCGACTCCTGGGCTGTGAGGTGGCACCAAACCAACTGAATGGTCTCTGACAGATGCACACTGCCCAGTCCTGGGCTCGTGACTGTGTTGCCACTGCCCGGGTGCTCTACCTCTTGAACCACAGCTCCACTTTATAGCTTTTTCATGGTTAATTATACATAAGAATCTCACAGCCATTCCTGCCCAGGATGAGATCCTTAGATCTCAGCCTCCTGAATAACTGGAAATCCAAGCTTGAGTCACAGGCCTTCAAGTTTGTTTTGTCAACTGTAGGGCTTGAACTCAGGGCCTGGCACAGTCCCAGAGCTCTTTTGCTCAAGGCTAGCACTCTACCCATTTTGAGCCATAGTTCTACTTCTGATTTTCTGGTGGTTAATTGGAGATAAGAGCCTCAGGGACCTTCCTGCCAGGGATGGCTTTAAACTGCCATCCTCAGCTCTCATCTTCCTGAGCAGCTAGGATGACAGGAGTGAGCCCTGGCTATTCTCAAGTTCTTTTTCTGAGCTGGGTTTTGCTCATAGAGTCGGGGCAGGGCGTGGCGTGGGTTACCTGCCCAGTGGAGGTGGCTGTGAACTGGAAGCTGCCCGTCATCATTCGCAGGAGAGACAGGAACTCCTTGTCCTCATAGTCGAAGCGGTCCCCAAAGACAATGGAGCTGATGACATTGGAGACCGTTCTGCTCAGGTAGAAGGTGGGATCTATGAAGGTGCCTGCAAGGTGGAGAGTGAGGGGTTTATGAAGGTACATGCAAGATGGAAGGGATAAAGGATGGGGGAGTTTGCAGGGGGTGGAGGGAGTTTGCTTGCAGGGGTGATGGGTGGGAGATGTATGAAGATAACTGCTGGAGTGGAGGGTCTATGGAAGGGCCTGCAGAGATGGGGGTGTGGGTCTATGGAGGGGCTTGTATGGCTGCAGGGTGGAGGGTCTATGGAAGATCCTACAAGGGTGGAGAATTGGGGTCCACAAAGATGGAGGGTGGAGGTCTGCAAGAGTGGATGGTGGGGTCTGCAGGGTGGATGGTGGTGGTCTGCAGGGGTGGAGTATGAGGGTTTGCAAAGGTGGAGGATGAAGGTCTGCAGGGGTAGATGGTGGGGGTCTGCAAGGGTGGAGGGTGAGGACTGCAGGGGTAGATGGTGTGGGTCTGCAAGGGTGGAGGATGAGGGTCTGCAGGGGTAGATGGTGGGGGTCTGCAAGGGTGAAGGGTGAGGATCTGCAGGGTGGAGGGTTGGGGTCTTCAGCGGTGGAGGGTGAGGAGTCTGTAGGGGTAGTTGGTGTGGGTCTGCAGGTGTGAAGGGTGACGGGTCTGCAGGGTTAGAGGGTGAGAGTCTGCAGGGGTGGAGGGTAGGGGTCTGCAGAGGGAGGTTGGGGTCTGCAGGTGTGGAGAGGTAGGGTCTGCAAGAGTGGAGGATGAAGGTCTACAGGGCTGGTGGGTGAGGAGCTGCAGGAGTGGAGAATAAGGGTCTACAGAGGTGGATGGTGGGGGTTTGCAGGGGTGGAAGATGTGGGTCTGCAGGGGTAAAGGGTGTGGGGCTGCAGAGCTGGAGGGTTTGGTTCTGCAGGGGTGGAGGGTGAGGGGTCTGCAGGGGTAGAGGGTGAGGGGTCTGCAGGGGTGGAAGGTGAGAGGTCTGCAGGGGTGGAGGGTGTGGGTGTGCAGGGGTGGAAGATGTGGGTCTGCAGGGGTAGAGGGTGAGGGGTCTGGTGAGAGGTCTGCAGGAGTGGAGGGTGGGGAATCTGCAGGAGTGAACGGTGAGGGGTCTGGTGAGGGGTCTGCAGGAGTGGGGGGTGGGGGTCTGCAGGGATGGAAAGCAGGGGATGCTGGGGAACCAAGGAAATATCTGTCTTCCTGGAAAACAACCAAACGGAGTGCTCTGATGTCAGTCTGACCATTTGGGAAAGATTTTGGAGGGTGGCTGAGCCCCAGGGCCTCCCTCCTCCCCTCCCCCTCCTCCCCCACCCCATCCAGCAGCTACCATGTGTGTCCCGCATTGCCTGGATGAGGAAGCCTGCCTCCTCCTGGATGCGCTCCTCGATGCCTCTCTTGCCCAGTCCAAAGTCCCGCAGCGTGGCGATGGAGAAGCGTCTCAGCTGCTTGGCCCGCTCCCCATTGCTGAAGACCATACCTGGCCAAGAGAAGGGGTCAGGCTGATGGTCATGCTGGGAAGAAGGGTGCAATCAGACCAGGGTGACCTGCAGAATATGGAATGGACCTGCAGAGTACCCTTGGAGACACTGGGGCAGCAGGGAGGCCAGGATGCCAGATTCTGCAGAGAGCAAGAGAGGAAGGAAACCCTACAGGTAAAAGAGAGAACACTAAGGAGCGAGGAAAGAAAGCCTCAGACTCTGGGCCAAAGATCTGCAGATCATCAGAAAGAGACAGAGAAGGGAGACAGGGTCCCCAAGGCACAGAGAAGAGGAGGCAGCCCCACACTGCCCCACCAGGCACAGAGGCAGCCAATGGAGGGAGTGGGAAAGGAGGGAGGAGGAGAGAAGGGAGAGGCAGCAAGAGGGGAGGTGACTTGAAGTGAAAAACAGTGAATGGTTTTTGTCCACAGAGAATGGGAAGGCAAGGTGGGAAGATGCCGGGAGGACATGAGGCAAGGCAGAAACTTGAAAGATCCAGAGGAGAAAGGCTGGGGAAACTGAGGCCACACATCCCTTTACACGATGACATGCACCCCGCTCACCATAGCCTTTGAAGAGCCAGTCGAAGGTGGCCTGCTCCCCGCGCCCGCTGAACTCTTCAGCCTGGTCCACCAGCGCCTCCTTCACGGCCTCCTGACCACACAGCACCACGACCCGCCGAGGGCCCAGGTAAACCGTGAACACTGGACCAAAGCGATCACTCAACTGGGGGAAGGGCAGATGGGAATAATTTAAGGAGCCAGGTACCAGGGTGCATTGGTTTTGATTCCCCTGAAACTCTGGCCAAGTCAACAGATTGAATATTCCCGCACATGGTCTTTTCCTGAGTAGAAAATAAAACACACATTTATTTTGATTTTTTGGTGCCCATCCTGGGGCTCCAACTCAGAGTCTGGGTGTTGTCCCTGAGCTCTTTTGCTCAAGGCTAGCGCTCTGCCACTTGGAGCCACAGCCCCACTTCCGGTTTTCCAGTGGTTCTTGGGAGATGAGAGTCTCATGGACTTTCTTGCCCAGGTTGGTTTTGAACCACAATCCTCAGATGTCTCCTGAGTAGCGAAATGACAGGCATAAGCCACAGTGCCAAGATAGAAATTGGCTTCTAAATTCTAAATTCCCTCCATCTCCAAGAAAATAATTCCCCATTTAAGACTGTGGCTTGTCCAGTCCGTGGCCAGTGCCCAGTGAATCTGGGCAGTTCCCTCCCACCACCCCATCCCACCCATCTCCCATCCCCAACGCACCTTCATGAGAGAGTTGTACATCTGCTCCGTGTTGAGCTGCAGATAGTTTCCAATGAAGGGCAATGGTGTGGGGCCTGGAGGCAGCTTTCCTGAGAGCTTCCTCTGCCTCCAGACAGACATCAACACCATGAGAGTCAGACAGGTGAGCACAGCCACCAGCAGCATGCCTGAGGCCAGCATGGTGGCGGCCAGGGTGCCAGTCAGAGGGTGGTGGCTAAGCAGCTGTTCTGGCTGCCTTTATATGCTGTGGGATGGAAGGCTGGACTTTGGCCTTGATTGCATAACTGTCTCCTTTTCCTTGCACAAGACCTCCTTCCCCCCTTCTCCTTGACCATACATTGCAACTAGTTTGAGATGTAGCCAGTGAATTGGGGAGGTGGAGACCTCAGGAGATTCACCGGGCACAGGCCGGGCTGGTGGCATTTGACCAGAAAATATCCCAAGACTGTGGATCTATTACCCTCAAAACTAGGGTAGAGTTCCTGGAGCTTTAGATAGAAAGTCTCTCAGACCAAGGACTCTGAAAGTATGGGTAGATTATTTTGGTCAGTCCTGGGGCTTGAACTCAGGACCCGGGCACTGTCCCTGAGCTTCTTTTGCTCAAGGCTAACACTCTACCACTTGAGCCACAGTGCAACTTCTGGATTTTTCTGTTTATGTGGTACTAAGGAATCAAACCCAGGGCTTGATTCATGCTAGGCAAGCACTCTACCACTAAGACGCATTCCCTGCCATGGGTGGATTTTTTTAGGGTCTCTGGAGAGGTGTGGGTCTCACTCAAATGATTGGTAGGAGATAGTTGGATATGGATTTGACAATGTTTCAATGAGGTGAGATTTGGGAGCGGCAGGGTGATAGATTGGATAGATTGGCTAAGAAAGATCTAGAACTGTGAGTGTGAGGTAAGAAAGCCCAACAGGAATCTAGTGTGAGCCCCTGAGCCCAGATGTGGACCTACTGTGACTCAAGCCCTGTGCTGTCTCTTGAGACCCCAGGTTGAAGGTCACATTTGGAGGCCATGGAGCCAAGACCTGACACTGCCTGTGGTCGGCCACCAGAGTCACATTTCAGTGGAACACCACACAGCCCTGAAGACAGAATTCCAAGGTCACCATGGGCAGAGGAACAGACCAAGTTTAGAAATAATAACCACCAGTATGGCAGAAAATCCCATCCACAAAGGGGTCCGATTTGCAAAGAACTCACACTGGATTTCCTACCTGTAGGCAAGTGCACTCAATTTATTATATCACTTCTATTATTGTGGTTATTTATGATTGTCGCCTATTTTACATGTAGGTGTCTTGTGCCCAGAACCCAGGGATTATGCCTAACATACAAACATGGGAAACTGTCTCATCAAATGTGGGGCTTGAACTCAGGTGCTATCCCTCTTTTGCTGAAGACTAGCACTCTATCGCTTTGAGCCACTGTTCAACTTCTGGTTTTCTGGTGGTTCATTGGAGATAAGAGTTTCATGGACTTTCCTGCCCAGGCTGGCTTTGAACCAAGATCCTCAGATCTCAGCCTCTTCAGAAGCTAGGATGGCAGGCATGAACAACCAGGTCTCAGTCTGTTTTTCTTTTTCTTTTTCTCTTATGCAAGTCCTGGGGTTTGAGCTCAGGGCCACAGCATTGTCCTTTAGCTTTATTTATGCTCAAGGCTGGCCTTCTACCATTTGAGCCACACCTCCACTTCTGGCTTTTTGCTGGTTCCCTGGAGATAAAGAGTCTCATGAACTTTTCTTCCCAGGCTGGTTTTGAACCAAGATCCTCAGATCTTAGCCTCTTATGCTGTCAGGATGACAGGCGTGCACACTGGTTCCTGGCTTCCTTATCTTTTGATTGCTAGTGATGATGAAGACAGCGCCTCATCATCTCCACTAAAGTGACCCGGGTACTGTGTGAGAAAGCAGGATTAGAACTCTCTTCCTTCCACCCTTCATTGCCTGGCCCAGCCCTCCCTGCCTAAGGTGGATCCTAAGATTGGAATAGTTGTCCAGTCAGCGTGAACTACACTCAGAGATGGAGAGATATCAGGCTGGCCTTGAGCTTGGGGCCCTGTGTGGGGAAAGAGTAGATTCAGGAAAAGGTCACCAAAGTTTCTTGGAGAAGGCATAAAGATGACGCCATATAACTTGTGAGTTTGGGCCCATGGGGGTTGTGTCACAGACCCTGGCAGAGGTCCTGGATAAGCAATATACAGACATTGATTGTTGACACAGCAGAAGTTGGCCACCCACTTCAGGACATCGGATGGGTGGGAATTGGGTGAGGCTGGCATCCCCGGGCCTGGCCTGGTGCTTGCAGTTTGCTTCCTCTCATTTTAAGTGCTGGACTCTGAGCCGTATGTGGAGTGAATAAAGGGCAGAGAACAAAGCTGAGAGATAGAAAAGATGTTTGTTGATTTTGGAAAGGGAAAGGTGGGAAAAAGGATTAGCAAAGGCTTGGAGAAATTGCTACCCTAGATCGGGGTGTACACCTAGGCTAGCCCTTCGCCTGGGCCTCTCTTCTCCCCTCTGTATTTTTCTCCTTCTCCTTGAATAAGAGACATTTGGAGAATTTAGTGCTTCGTGAAGGATGCATCAGGAAGTGGTCTGAGAGTTGAGCTGGGCTCCAGTGAGCCCACCTGGAATGGGCTTCGTATAGGCAAATAGATGGACTTAAGGACAAATAGGTCATGTGTGTTTGCTCTTGTTGATGTTTTCTGGAACTTGGAATGAGGGATCGATGTTTGGAGTCACGTGGGAGAGATACTTGTCAGTCATAGTCAGGACAAAATGAGCAAGTGAGGGTGAACTCAAGAAAATATTCAATAAAGAAAAAAAGAAAACAAAAGAAATATCTCCCTCTACCCCCTGGCCAGACCCTCAGTTTCCCTGAGGTTAAGAGCAAGTATGAAGCTCAGATTTTAGAATGCTCTTTTTTATTTTTATTTTTTATGCTGGTTGTAGGATTTGAACTTGGTGTCTGAGTGCTGTCCCTTAACTTTGGTGCCCCAAACTAGCACTCGATCATGAGACTACAGCTCCACTGTTTTGTTTTGTTTTGTTTTGTTTTTTTTGGTGTTAACAGTCTCATGGACTTTCCTGCCCTGACTGACTTCGAACTCTGATGCTCAGATCTCAGCCTTTAGCAAGGATTATAGGCATGAGTACCAATGCCTGGCTAGAATCTTCTTTCTTCATTTTCATGTGCCCGGAAGAGATGACTTGGCTCTCTGAGCTTTTGGAACTAAGGAGACCAAGGAGTTATCTCTTTGGCTGGTTTGATGGGTATATATGAGTTGATACATCCTTCATAAAAAGCATCTGATAAAAGCCAGGTGTAGGGCTGGGAAGGTGGCTCAGTGGTAGAGTGCTTGCCTCACATGCATCAGGCCCTGGGTTCGATTGCTCAGCACCACATAAGCAGAAAAAGCCAGAAGTGGCGCAGTGGCTCAAGTGGTAAAGTGCTAGCCTTGAGCTGAAGAGCTGAGGGACAGCACCCAGGCCCAGAGTTCAGGCCCCACAACTGACCAAAAAAAGCCAGGTGCCAATGGCTCACCCCTGTCACCCTCACTACTCAGGAAGCTGAGGTCTGAGGACTGAGGTTTAAAGCCAGCCCAGGGGAGGAAAGTCCATGTGACACTTATCTCCAATGAACCACCAAAAAGCTGGAAATGGAGCTCTGGCTCTATTGGTACAGTGTTAGCCTTGTGTGAAAAAGTTCAGGGTCAACGCCCAGGCCGAGTTCAAGCCCCACTACTGGCACACATACAAAAAAAGCATATGTTGAAACTCCTTTGAACAACTGATATTCATATGAATTAATGTTGTTTTGGGGGCATCTGTAGGAACTTGTGGGTGAGGCTTGGTGAACAGAGAGAGGGAGTGAAGGAGGGTGGAATGTGCACATACAATGGAGCCTAGCTTGTGGATCCAGGCTGCAGTGTAAAGCTGGGTAGGGATTTTCAGTGGAAGGAGAAAGGCAAGTCTGGAGATTGAGTTCCAAGCAGAAGCAGCAACTCTCATTCAAAGTCTCCGTGCATGGCTGAGTGCAATCAGACAGTGAAGCTCCAAGCCTTATTTATGGCCTTTGACAGAAGCTAAGCCTCAGGCAGCTTTATGCAATTTGCTAAAGAATTTCCATACTTCTTTGCTTTGTTTTATTTATTTTATTTTGGGGTGGGGGGGGTTGTGGGGCCTGAACTCTGGGCCTGGGCGCTGTCCCTCAGCTCTTCAGCTCAACGCTAGCGCTCTACCACTTGAGCCACCTTCCCAGCCCCTGTTTTATTTTATTTTGTTTTCTATCTATCTGTCTATCTATCTATCTACATATTTGGTCCTGGGGTTTGAATTCAGGGCCTAGGCACTCTCTCTGAGCTCTTTGTGCTCAAGGCTAGCACTCTTACCATTCTGAGCCACAGCTCCATTTCCAGTTTCAGAGTGGTTCCTAGGACATGAGAGTCTGGGTGAGTAGTTTTCTGCCCATTCTGGCTTTGAACTGTGATCCTCAGATCTCAGCCTCCTGAGTAGGAGCCACCTGTGCCTGGCTTATTTATTTTGAGTTCACGGGTCCTAGGGGCTTGAACTCAGAGCCTGGGCACTCTCCCTGAGCTTCCCTCTCTTCCCTGTGCCCCAAAGCTGGTTCTCTACCCCTTGAGCTACACCTCTGCTTTGAGCATTTTGGTGGCTAATTAGAAATCAGAGTCAGTCTCTTGGATTGCCTAGGTTGGCTTTCAACTGAGATCCTCAGATCTCAGACTCGTGAGGAAAGGGTATTACAGGCATGAGCACTGGTACCCTGCTACATTCCATGTTCTTATCTACCACTCCTGATCACCCAGCCTTGCTTGTTTTTCTGTATGAAACACCAGGAGATGGCCCTGAATAAGCTGTGAATAAAAACTTTAAACCAGGGGAAAACCCCAGACACCTCCACCACTTTCCTAAACTCATGTGAGAGTAGGGAAGGAAAATTAGGCAGATACTACAAGAGTTGATATTATGAAGGTGTTGTACAGGGGGTCACCTTTCCATAAGTCAGGTAATGACTGTATTTGTTGTTGGGACAATGTCACTCTTCCTTTGCTTTCCCCTAGTTCTCCGTTCCAGTCCCTGCCCCACAAATTGCACAGTTCATTTTCTACGTAGTATCTACTGAGTAAAATAAAACCCATGCCTGGCTTTCTTTTCTATTTTTGTTACTTTATTGC